AAGCTAGAAACTGAAGTGTTACGTTAAATGTTGTCAGTCCCTATGCCCCACAGGTTGGATGTCAGAAGTGAAAGACAAACTCTGGAGGAAGTTGGATGAAGTGAGTGTCCAGAGGTAAGAGAGCACACTTCAATGTACATGTACATGAAGGGAACGGCGGCGGTGTTGGTTAGGTCTGATGTTAAGGATATAAATGGTTTCGTGAAAATCATGGAAATGGCTGTGGTGAAGACACAGAGTGGAGGCAGGGACACACAGATTGACTGAATGCCTTGTGTATTTCAGCAAGACAATGCTAGACTACATGTAGAGCATACTTTTGTAGTAGAAGACTGCTGAACTGGCCTTCCAGCGATAAACAAAAAATACAACAAAGTCTTGGCTTAAGTGGTTAAAAGGTTTGCAGTGACTGAGTGATGGAGGGGGAGGATGCATTTGTTAGTTATCTCACATGATCCTGTAAGTATGATGCCAGTAAGAAGAAATAGTATAAAGAGAGCCCACATAGCAGAGAACAATGCCAGGAAGCCGCACTCTGTGCTGCGATTTGCCGAGTGTAGAGCAAGGTGGGAGCCCTGGGCCACCCCAGCCTCACTGAGGAAGGAGGCTCTTTAATCTAGAGAAGCACACATCCTCATCATCACAACATTTTAACACTCTTAAAAGCGAGCTTGGCTTCATCTCTGTGGTTATGCATCAGGTGATTTAATGACTGAAGTACTGGGACAAAAGAAAGTTAAGATTGGTCTTGAGGGATGGTGGAGGACAGTGCACGTGATGAGTGAGCCCGGATAAGCCTTGGCCTCACAGTTGGGGCTAAACCAAGGTCAGCAATATATGGGGAGAATGCAGGAACGTTTGTTTTGGCCACGATTCACACTGATTAATGGGATCCGTTCTCTGGACTCAACGTTCCTACTGTCTCTGGGGGCGGTCAGCACTTTGTTGCTTACTGACCCTTCAACTGCTCCCTCTTTCTGTCTTTCTGTGCCCATCCTGTTGACTGGGCCCCCCTTCGGTTTTCTGGTGAAACAAGGAGGAACCAGTCAGCAGATTTGATCTCTGCTGATGAAACAGGAAGGAACCAGTCAGCAGAAACACATCTTTTGGAAACAGTGAGACAAAAAGCAGCCCCTGACCTTCATCACATTATCTAAGAACAGCTCTAATGTCAACACCTATGCTTTATCTGATTATTCTGACCTGCAAAATACTAACAAACTACCTCCAGGGTAACCATTTACTCGCACTGCTTGCAACTCTAATCCAAGACATTTTCACTTGCAGATTTATCACTTTATATCTGCAAACGTTTGACTGTATAGCCCATATGCAACCTCATTTTTCTTAGGATGGTTACTGACTGAGTATTGTAAGATTAACAGGTGTCCAAACACAACCAATCACCTCAGCTGATGGGGCTTTTTCAGTGTTTTTCCCATTATTTTAAGCTCCAAATAACTGTGCTTCAGCTTTAGTGAGTGAAATACTAGAATTTTATACACTTCTGGTTTCAACTGCCTACATGGTAGTTACCAAAAAACCAACAATGAGCCTGAAAAATGGGCTTTATGTATATCTATCTCCCTCTCTCGCTCTGGATAACATCGTGGTAACATTATACGCCTTTGGAGCATCTTGAAGAGGATGTGGGACCTATGGAATCTTCAATATCCAACATCCAAACAATTAGTGGCCCAGCGTTCCAACATTCTGAAAAAAAAGAACTGCTATCACAACTGAAGATTGATGATATATACAACACACATGCTACAGCAAAAGTGAGCCAAGACGTCAAAGTTTGACAGAAGGAGCGTTGAGTGTGACCTGAAAGATCAGGTCACACTTGGTACCTGGACCCTCCGTAGCCAGGTACCAAGACTACCCTCTGAAGGTCTACTAGATGATGTGAATGCAGCGTTACGGACAATCTCTACAGAGACCATCATGGAAACTAAACAGCTGATCTACACCATGGTAGCAGTCGTCACAGAGATGCTTGGCTACAAGATGAACAGCCAGCAGTTCCCTCCATGGAGAAGGAGCCAGGATCACGGTAGCACGGAGGGAAGTCAGCCAATTATCAGAGCTGCAGAAAGATGCGATGAAGAAAGGGGTGCCTAAGAAGTACAGCAAGCTGCCCATACCTAAGGCCTTGGAAACTGCCAAGCAAGGTATCACAGCTCATCTTGTACCCGGAAGGTTGCCGGTTCAATCCCCAGCTCTGTCTGTCTTGGTCGTTGTGTCCTTCACCTACCGCCTACTGGTGATGACCAAAGGGGCCGACGGTGCGATATGGCAGCCCCGCCTCTGTCAGTCTGCCCCAAGGCAGCTGTGGCTACAACTGTAGCTTGCCTCCACCAGTGTGTGAATGTGAAAGTGAATGAATAGTGGAATTAAAGGTCTTGAAAAGCGTTATATAAATGCAAACCATTACTATACTGGCCAGCCACTTAAAGAATTAGAGATAAAAGGCAGGAGAATAAAACCAGCTGTACTCACTCCATCTTAAGCACCGATGTTAAGATTTTTACTGGGAGTAAAGAGGGCGGGCAAGATTAGAAGGCCAGCTCAGGTTGAGCGGCTTGGAGACAAAGTTAGGAGCCAAGCTGAAGATAATTTGGACATATGTAGGAGGGATAGTGGATACACTGGTCAAAGGATGTTGACGATGGAGCTGCCAGGCAGGAGGAAAAGACGAAGCCCACAGAGAAGATTCATGGATGTAGTGAAGGAGGGTATGCAGAGTGTTGGTGTGACTGAAGAGGATGCTAGAGAGGGGGGCAGATGATCTGCTGTGGCACCTAAAAGGAGCCGCTGAAACAGTAGAACCTCAAATCTTCCCCCCTCATTTTTTTTTTTACATTTAGAAGTTGAGATAGCGAGCTTACAGCTCTCCCCTCACCCACCAACCCCCCCCCACACACCAACACGCACGCACGCAGAGTTACACAATTACACAAGAATGATGAGTCGAACACTTTCCAGAAATTCTTGGCAAAATATATTTTGGTCCAAAAGCTGATTTGTAAAAATACATGTGCAATCATGGAGTAGATGAGGCATCATACAGAGAGTATCACTGCCCTGTCACTGTTCAGGAATGCTGTTTAATATCCCACTGCTGTAAGGCTGAGCGACTGAAATGTAGTGTTTATATCCAGAATGTTTCACACGGTACTCTGGTCATCACTAAATCTCAAATACCATTACATTACACACATGATACTTCATAATCCTAATGCTACTGTGACTCATATCGGTCATTTTAACACACAAAATACTACACCAGGAGTCAGAATCATGACGGATGGGCTCATTCTCAGAAGCTGTTTTCATATTTATTTTACAACAACAACAACATCAAAAACACATGATTTTTTTAAAAGGCAGAAATGATCCTTAAATATTTGCACCTTCATAAATCACCTTCAAACTACCGAATATCCTAACAGGCTAAGAGATGTGTGCAGGCCAAATCGTCCCATATGCTTTCTATTTTCTTCTTTCTGGTCGTTTAACTGTGACAACGTTGCTCTACACATTTTAATGATGAGAATAATGGAGGCTTTGGTGGAAATCAGCATTTGATCTGCTCAAACTGCGTTTCATTTACCTGCTCAGCAGCAAAACACTCATTCAAAGTGCAAATCCTGCTTTTATAAAGCTTTGATCCCACACATTTGGCACTGGAAATCAAATGGCGTCTATATATACATAAATAATAATATTCTTCAAGTGCAGAACCTAGTGTACTACTGCCTTTAATACCAATCTTCATTAAGCTCACAGGGTGTAGGGAATATGTTTTGTTGCCGAGAGAACATCTGCCTACTGGCACCTCTAAACCTCATCAATGACAAAAACTGTCTAAGAAAATGAAGTTGTGGTTTTATCATGTATTTAAAAATCTATTTAAAAAAGAGATATACATCTTTTGTAGATTTTTTTTAACTAGGTTATTATTTTACTGGGCGATCGTGGCTCAAGAGTTGGGAGTTCGCCTTGTAATCGGAAGGTTGCCGGTTCGAGCCCCGGCTCGGACAGTCTCGGTCGTTGTGTCCTTGGGCAAGACACTTCACCCGTTGCCTACTGGTGGTGGTCAGAGGGCCCGGTGGCGCCAGTGTCCGGCAGCCTCGCCTCTGTCAGTGCGCCCCAGGGTGGCTGTGGCTACAATGTAGCTTGCCATCACCAGTGTGTGAATGTGTGTGTGAATGGGTGGATGACTGGATATGTAAAGCGCTTTGGGGTCCTTAGGGACTAGTAAAGCGCTATACAAATACAGGCCATTTACCATTTACTGAGCCATTTAAGATCAGATGGGGTGTATGCAGTCTGTGAGTTGACTGACATGAAAGCATCACTGCAAGTCAAAACTAAACTCTTCTGACTGATTTCTGTCTTTTCATGTGATGAAGTATTTCTCCTGATAGCAGCGCCTCCTTCCACAGAGCACAGGGGTTCGCTGAATTCTCTCGTGAGAATGATGCAAATCTTATGCTACGGCCTTCACAGTCACCAGATTTGAGCCCAGTTCAATAAACCGAGATTTGGGACAATTTTGAATAGCATTTTTGCTTGAAATAAACCTCATTGACATTTTTGGGGGGGGGTATCTGTAAAGCAGACTTGATGCGGTGCCTCAAGTCTGCCTCAATCTGAGTCGTTACACTCAGATACTGATGGATCGTTCACACAGAAACCTCTCATCTACAAATCGTTAGCTTCATAGCATAAGTGCCTAAGTCATTTTTTGGTCAAATTGAGATTTTTGCCTAACTTTACTCCCCTACCACTGCTGCATCATCCTGTCCGTCTGCCTATGTCATCACAAAAAAATGACTTAGGCACTTATGCTATGAAGCTAACGAAATGTATCGTCAATCAGCAGTTATCGTCCAACCCAGAGATGTTAACCACAAGGTTACCTCTGTGGTGCTTTAGAGGTGCATATAAGCAGATTTTTGTTACTTTTGGAAAGAGCTATGAAACCCATTCCCCTCTACTTCCTTTATTCTATTTAAGCCAACATCTCCTATTTATTTCACACATGAAATTAGTGTTCTCATCTAATCCTCTGCAAAAGCAAAAGTTTAATCAATCTAAGTTAAGTTCACAGCTGGAAAACCAAAGTAAAGCAGAGGAAAGAGACATAATATCTGAACTTACACAGATGCAGTTTAACACTTTCAACACTGATCAACAGCAGGTACCCTATTGCTCCAGAGTTAATTCATTAAGTGTTAACATCTACAGAAATACATCTTAAAAATAAATATATGCATCAGAAGTAGTATATTATATTGCTACAACTTAAGTCTTGCCTCAGATCATCAACTCTAAAGAATGACCTGTGTGTGTGCATACTACTTTTAGTCTATAGTAGAAGACTTTTAGCTCTCAATTGGATCGACCTGTGGCAGTGTTACGCAAATATGTTTGAGATGAAATCACGAAACCTTTTGGCGTATTGCTCGGGGTGGACTGTGGAGATTTCAGCACCAGCCTGGAACACAGAGATAGAGAGGGGGGGGGGGGGGGGGGGGACAAATAAATACATAACATTGTCAGTATGTAAGTAAAGTAACATTTTATTTATATAGCACCTTTCAAGATAAAAATCACAAAATGCTTCACCAAAGCAGAAAATGGACCCTGAACTTAACAGGGAGACACTGCAGTTGGATCAGCAGGGGAGTGGCATGTGAGTATTTGGGATACTTTGTCAAAAGCCTAGCAGCAGCATTCTGAACACCCTGCAGTCGTTTCAGGGAGGCATTATAAGCAAGTAAACAAGGAATTACAATAATCTAAGCGACCAGCTTCATCTGTAAATTTCTCGACCTCCGTACGGGTACAGCAGAGTGTTTCGAGCGGCTGACAGCAGCCCTCCACCTCTCTTGTGCTACTCACCCCGTGTTTGACAGTTTTTGCTGCATGAGCGGCTTTCTTCTTGGTGTCATACTGCGTGAGCACGTCAATCAGGCCCATGAAGTAGACCTCCCTCTGAGGGGCTCCTGAGATTAAAAGGCAGAGAACAATCTGGGTTATTTTACCAGGCTTGTGGTGACAGCGGCAGTCACAGGTCTCATTTAAAAAGCATCAAACCAAAAGCTCCCTGTTCAGATGTTAAAATTAGAACCTCTACATCTATATTATTACTTTACAGTCATTTGTAAAAGACTTTTCTTCTTTTTTTACACTGAATAAAAGAAAATCAACCAAATCTGAAACACCAGGCTCAACTTCCAAAAAAGATTTCTTCAGGATCTAAAGTTGTCAGGGTGATATCTCCAGGCTGTTACACAGAACATGCTTCTTCTTTTCACAACAATTACAAGGATTAGAATATGACTTTCTTCAAAACTTATTCTCAAACAACAGACAACCTGCCTGGTTGGAGAAAACGGGTAAAAAGGAGACGTTTCATATGCCACCTTCTGACATCTTGATATGACCTTTGGTAGTTTTCTCCAGACAGGAATAAGACAGGTAAAAAAAGTCACCGTCCTCTGTGTCATAGCCTTTAAACTGGTGCAGTAGTATTTGAACCATGACACATCCCATAATAGTCACGCTCAAAGTTCGCCACACAACAAATCGCAGAATACAAAAACAAGTTAAGGTGCAAGTTTTAAACAGATGTTTATTTTAATCCCTAAATATTACACGACCGTCTCCTGCTCAAAAATGCTGGGAGAAATAAACCAGCTTGAGTGCTAAACCCACCCCCATGTACTTTGGAGCCTGGAGCTCATAAACTATTTATAGCACGACAGCAAAATTTTGCATGGCAGAGACAATCGGCTGATTGTGAGGCACTGATTGATTCATCACACAATGACTCAAAACATGTAGAAACAAACGGTTGGTGTTGGTTTAAAAAATAAAATGAAGACAGAAAACAGTCACTGGTACTGGTTTGATCAATGCAGTCAGCTAACTTTCAGGTTTAAGCATCCCCTCCCCACCAGTATTCACCTGGGCAGCTCCTAACTGCATACACGTCCACGTAGGGGTCGAACTCCCCGGGCCCCAGAGGCTTGACGGAGGACATGTAACCAGCGATTCCCTCCGGAGAGTTGCCATAAGAGCCCACCGTAGGACCCGGTGCAAGGCCGTTTTCTGCCTCCGGATCTTCCTCTTTGACCTCTTCCTCACACTCCTCCTCCTCCCGTTCAGCTCGGCCGATGTCGTGGATGCCGAGCAGCAGGCTGTAGTCCATGATCTTCAGCCTCACTAGAAACTGAGCGAGGAGAGGACAGTGTTTTCTAAAAGGCTTTTATAACCAAGCTTAAAAAGAATACCAACTTCGATTTTCAAACTCTTAAAACACGACAGATCTGCAATTTCCTCATAAAACTGAAACTTCTCCTCCTTCACTAGTAATTTAAGTAAATACATTTAATATTTCCTAAACAGCAACAGAGGAGCAACCTCAGCGGGCTGATACTGCCACTGTGTGGCAGAGGAGAGAAACAACAACAACAACAACAAAACCGCTCACCCACCTCGACATCTCTGTTTAGCTTCTCCATGAACTTTTCCTTCTCCTCCTCAGTCACATAAACCTTCTGCATGTTGTTCCTGAAGTCCATGTCTTTGAAGGTAGGGAGCTCTTTGACCTTCGGGGTAAATTAATAAATTATACATCTCAGGAGGACTCTTGGCTTTGAGATAAGACAGAAAACAACATAATGATATGAAAAGAGGACAAAGGAAGAGGTTTCTTTTACCCTTTCTTTGTCGCTTGCTTCCCGATCCACCAGAGAGCCCTACAAAGAGAAACTGCTTTTAATATTACCACTGATACATCAAACAGAAAGAGTGAGAGACCATCTTAAAGAGCAAAACACTAAATTAAACGGATAATCATTTTGTTTTTCTAATAAAATCATGAATAAATTTGGACCATTTCCAAAATCTCAACTTGTGGAAACTAGCACGACTTCCTCATTAATTTGTGAATCACTGATGAGAAGCAGTGATTAAAAAAAAAAAAAAAAAAAGGTCAGACTGCCATGCAGTTCCTCTTCACCTTGAGGTCGTACTTCCTGTGCACCACCAGTCTGTGGCTGAACATGTTCCTCATGACCATCAGGTAGGTCTCCTCGCTGTCCACGGTGACGCGGTACATACCCAGGAACTGTGGCAGCAGCGTGTTCCCGTGACACTTCACTATGTGCTGCAAAGAGGAAATGACTGTGAATTTGCATGACAGGTGGAAAAGGAGGATTAATGTCAACGGCAGAAACAACTTCACAAACACAACGAACAAAAACTGAAGTTAAAGCTTCAAACATTCAAACTCTCTTTTGAAGCAAGAGCGATTAATAACTCTAGTTTCATGTCTGTGCTGGAGAAATTGAGATCAATGTCTCAATTTCAATTCAACTGAAAATTTTAATTGAGGGTCTTTGCAATGCTTCATATCGTCTCTCGTGGAGAAATGAGATTCATCATAAACTTTAAAGCCCTGACACATCAGTATGTGTTGTACACTTGGGTCATGCTTCGTCTGCTCCTGTTTCTTACTGATCCATCCTTTGTTGTACCTACGCTGATTTGCATGCAAACATTATTTGCTTCTCTGGTAAACTTCCAACTATTTTCCAGAATATCGTCTTGGTTTGGCTGCCAAAATGTCTCAGGATAAAGTAAACTTACTCTCTGACCTCCCCCCCGCTGGTAAGTAGCAACTGAATTTTTAAAACATGAGATGGAAACACATAAAAAACAAGCAAAAATATACTTGGGCAGTCATTAATAAGCCTGGCTGGCTCGCAAGCATGCATGGGAAACGCTGAAACTCGAAATACTTCTTGTTTTCATCTGGTACTCCATCACCAACAAACTAAAGTTAGACAGACCTTTGCACTAAGACCGGTTGAACAACTTATTTCAGCAGCTGTGCATAACGCCAGCTTTCCTAAGAACAATATACCAAATGTGGTTTACAAAGTGTTTACTTAGGCATCGAGTTTCATTCACACATCAGTAGGTAGAGGACACGCCCACTGTAGTAAGATGACAGTGCCCATCATTTTTACTGAATTAACAATTGCTTTGACTTGAGAATGGGCCAAAAATCTAGCATCGATAACTCAAAAGATTATCAACAAACCCAAATGTTAACTTCACAAGTGATGGAGGCCAATTACTGAGTGTATCAGGGTCAGACTTTTAGCTGTGCTCAGCACTCGCTATAGCAGTCAGTTAAAATAGATGCTTCCCTGAGACTGGCCTCATTCAGTGTCCCATCAGACCAATAGATGCTCACGGTGTTAAAAAGACATCTCTCTTCGTGTCCTAACACCATTTTCTGACCACGAGGCTGTCAGAGGATCTGCAGCTTGCATACACGTGGATGCTTTTCTGTTCAGCTCAGCTATCTGCATGACTTTTATACATAACTCGATAAATGTTGTGTCAAATTCAAGTTCAAATTGAAGCCTTGACTACATGAAGCCTTCATATTTTACACTCACTTGATTCACTGTGGCACACAAGCATTTCAAAATTATGGCTAAGCCAGTAAACCGCTCCCATCTGTGTTAAGAAAAACTTGTAATGTGTACAAATGAAAACAGTTTGGAGGCACACCAAGAAAACATGCACCATAAGCAGTGGGATATAAAACATCTCAATGTGGTGGTGCCTCACCCAACCAGCCCCACCCTGGAGTGTATCTAGAGAACATTCTTAGATAACTGCATGAACAGGCGGGTGTACATGCGTTCCTAATAAAGTGCTCATTGAGTCTACAGTGTGGGAGGTTAAAGTTTTGAAGGTGTTGTTAAAATTACTACACACAGAGAAGCTGTGCTGTTAAGATTTACATGCAAAGTGATCACAGGCATCACCTTTGCTTTCTCTATCACCAACCGAAGCCAGTGACACATGTTCAGCCAACTGTTCATTATCACAACATTATCTAGCAACAAAGCTGGTGAAATGACGTGATGATCAGATGCGCACGCTTAAACTATCTTTTTCCCACGCTGTAAATAAACCAATACATGAAACTCCAAACCAAAATGCAAATACCTACCCAACAAACAAATATCACGAGTTTCCAGATTACTTCAAATAAAATGTTAATCTGCATTTCCAAGACTATCTGGTCAACAGATTGACTATAAACAGGCGCCAGGAAACATTTGGAAACAAGAAAGTTGCCCATTCTCTGGATGCACATCACTGTTGTGCTGATGCTCTTTTTGACAGTTTGTTTTGCACTCTTTTGTTACTACTGGCTGACGAAGACACAGGACTACACTACTATGTGTGCAAGCAAATATAATGTAATTTTATTGCAATGCATTTAAAAATGTTGCTATAAAAATCCTTCTATTTTTGACCGTTTAGCCAATGAAGCCCATCGCATTTGTCGTAGAGCGAGAGGCGAGGTACACTCTAGACAGCTCACCAGTCTATCACAGCATCAACAGACCAGATCCTCAAGACAAAATCCCTACACCTGCCAAAAAACCTCACCCAAAATATTGTCAAAATTAATTTGAGTAATGCTAAAGTAAAGTCAAAGCTCTCATGCCCGGTCCAAGCGAACAAATGTTCTGCAGGCTAAAAATGTAGCACAGAAGTTAAATATCCTCCAGAAAACTCACAATAAACAAACTGATCTACAAAACAAACTAAAATGCAGAACGCACAAACAATGAGTTCATTCAGTGCTGAATGAAGTAAACGTCCTGAAACAGAGCTGCCATTTTCCTCATCTCCCTCGCACTTTTATGTAGGCTGCACAACCACAGGCTACACATTCCACCGAGAGCCCAAAGCAGCCAAAAGTTTGCTCAGTGGACTGTTTAGCCTGAAGTGAGATCTAGTTTTGAATCATCTACATGACTCAGCTCCACCAGGCCGAACGGCAAATGGCAAATAAAACCTGACGTAAACCAACAAAACAGGAAAGAAAGCATGTCACCGCTCTGATCTCCCCTTCAAATGTACTCTGATATTTACATGAACACAGATGTGGCGATATGAACATTTGAATATCTTTAATAAACCAACAATATAGCGTGTTTGTTCAGCCCTGTGCGCAAAGGTGTCCTGTGACTGTAACAGAAAAACAAACAAACAAAAAAAACAACCTTGGCTAACCTTGATGATGAGAAATGCTTTGGTCTGCAGAAGGATATCGTCTTCCAGTTGGGCTTTCCGCCCACAGGAAGGTTAACGGCCTGGCTGAGTGTCTGAGAAACACCTTAAACCAAATCCAGGATCTCCATCAAGGATGATTCAAGACAATAAGAAATTATTTTCTTACTCACAGCACCAGCCTGCTGCCAAATCTATAAATAGTTGTTTTCATAATCTGCACGAAATGCTTACTTCCAGACCTCCAGGACAAATGCTTTTGTTTTTTTCAGCTGCAAAGGTCCAAATGAAGGAGACAGAAAATACGTGAAGTAGGACACGCGCAGCAGCAGACACACAGCTCAGGAAAGCAGACAGGAGGTGAGATGGACAGACAGACTCAGGGCTGACTGAATGAGCAGCAGGCAGAAAGGACTCAAGATGCTCATGGGGAGGTTTATTTATAGTCGCACTGCAGGATGAAAAAGAAACAACTGGGACAGTCTCCAACTTGCATGTCACCCTTTTATTAATGTCACTCTTCCTGCAGCTTCTCAGCAGATTACTGTTGAAGGAAACGTGATCTTTCAGTAAAGATGTGAGGTTAAAAGTCTCTTGACGTGCCCCTCACCCTATGACACTAGAAAAAGGTTGAAGCCTGACCCTAAACTGGATAATTGAAAGAAAATGGATGGATGGGAAAAAAGATAATATGAAGCAAGTCAGCCTTCTAATCGGTCTAACTTTGTATTGACATGAATTTCCATAAACGTAACTAAAATTAGTGTTCGCTCAGCTGTCTTCTTCTTATTAAAATCCAATACCTGTTCTATCAACGTTCAGAAAGGGCTTCTTCCTGTTTCTTCCTTTCACAATAAAAGGCCCTGACATCTACACCGTCTGTTTGACTCACAAACTAAGTGCTCAACCAGACTGAAAAACAGGAAGTTAGTATAGAGCTATACAAGCATATTAATAAATATGGGAAGCCAGACAGAAAAGAGGAACTTGTACCATATAAGGAGTTGTTGAAACTGTGTGACATGTAAAGTACCGAAATAACACCTATATGAGACACATTTTATGATTCTAATGTTAGAGATCCTGCAACTGGCGTTGGGCTGTGC